ATTGGGTAGCAGATTTTCTCAATCTGTTTTTCATAGATGAAAGACTCCCTACAAATGTTCTAAAAATAAAAAAAATTAAAAGTATTTTTATATGGGAATTGCTAAGTGTTTCAGTTAATTGAAGACCCTCAAATGGTCTTTTACAGGAAGAAAATTTTGTAGTAGTCGTCTGTAGAAGGAAGTCTGCAAGAGGTCTTGTGTGGATGTAAGAACTTCTAACGATTTTCGGTTGCAGAGAGACCTTTGGACGTCTTATATGGATTGGAGACTTGCTGAAAAATTTCAGCAGGTGGAAGTTTTGTCTAAGAGTTTTTAACGATAATGGACCTTTAAAAATCTTTTCTTAGTTATAAGATATTCTAAAGCTATTGGATAGATGGGAAACATTCAAATCTTTTTTATTATTTTTTAGATGGGACCGTTTAAATGTTTTTTATAAAAGACATTCTACAGTTGCTTGTGCATAGAAAACACCATAAAGATATTCCTTAGATGGAGGGCAATATCAAATTCTTCAGTAGATAGTAAAATTTTTGAAGGCTTTCGATAAATTGAAAAACTTTGAAAAGTAAGTAATAGTAGAAACAAGATTTTCCGATAGTCTTCCGCAGATGGACGCCTTCTGAAGTCGTTTACAAAAACAGACCTTCCGATTTTTATACCAGAATAGAATCCTATTTCTTTTTGAGATGATCGCCAAATGTTTAGGGGTTGAAATGGACCAAATACTGAAAAAATGTCGGATTTTGCAGTAGCTATACAGGTCGCAATTATAGACCAATCGACGCGGAATTTCGCATGTAGCTAGAGTTTAGGGCAGGGAAGAAGACTACCAATTTTGATGGTCATCGGATAATATTTAGCGGGTAAAATAGACCATATCTTTTTTGTTGAAAAAATTCAAAATTTTTCATTAAACCGCGAATATTTTAAATCCCGGAGAAATCACGAAGCCATGACAAGGTTACTTCTGAACTTTATATTGATGTTAAAATCCAACAAATCGGATATAGCAAAATATGTGCGATATATATGTCTATCAAAGAAGATATGCTTGAAAGATCTCATATATGTCGAGAACGGCTGAACTGATTTCGACAGTTCTCATTAATTCAGAATGGCCTCTTGGCAGGAAAGAAAAAACGTCTAAAAAATCGCATAAAAATATCTCTCTAAAGATTAAAATATTGATTTTGTAACATTTTTCATATTTTTTCAGTTTTGTCATATTTTTGGCATATTATCATTTTGAATTAAACATTTGGTAATATTTCTACAGCTAACAAAACTAAGTAGTTGGGATATCAGGATATCATATACAGATCGCATTTATGGCCCGATCCTTACAAAATTTTGCATGAGGATAAGATGAGGGTCAGAATAGAAGCCTACTCTGTTTGGAGATGATCGCCATATATTTAGGGGTTGAAATGGACCAAAAAACTGCAAAATTGTCAGCAGGTCGTCATTATCGCCCGATCCTCACGCACAGTTGAAGGGGGGTTACCGGACATTACAAAAGCCAAGCAGTTTTGGATGGCCATTCAAAAATATTCAATAGTTTGCCAACTTTTGTAGACAAAATACGAAAATGTCCTTTCCAGTGACTTTTTGGAGAATTCACAAATACAGGAAAGACGCACTTCTGACTATTTCGTTGACGCTGATTTCGTTGAAGAATATAGTCAAATGTCTGTATCTCATATAGATGCGTTTTAGTCAAAAACCAATAATAAATGTTAATCTTTTGCCACTTCTGAGATATTAAAGGTTTTTGGTAAATATTGGTTCCAGATCTAGGAAGACCATTTACGTGCAACATCTACCAATAATTTGGAAATGAACAAATTAGTTAAAGTTGCTATTATTCGAAAATTAGAGAACGGAACCTGATAGTTTTCTTTTATTATTTGTCACAATATCTCGTGGAATTCTTTCGAGTTACTCGCCTATATAAACTGTTTGGTTTATTATAGCGTTGTAGGGTATTCAACGGTCGGCTCCGCTCGACTGTAGCCTTTGCTTACTTGTTTCAATTTGACTTACAATTTTAAATTGTAAATTTTCAAATTTTTACACCCCGCAAAACTAAGTTTTGAGGGTATTATATACATGTCGCTATTATCATCCGATACTCACGAAATTTCCCATGGGTATAGGGTCAAAATTAAAGCTTTTTATAGGTCATAATTGTAAACCAATCGACACGGTATTTCGCATCAGAAGAGAGTTGAGGACAGAGAAGAAGTCTATCATTTTGGATGACCATTGGGTTATATTTAACTATAAAATGGACCACAACTTTCGCGTGAGGTTGGTTTGAATACATAAAAACAAGACGAAGTCCATAAATATTAGCCAAATTCACCGGGTCAAAAACCTAAATGTAACATCTGGGCGGGGGTCTTTGACATTATTTCAAAAACGAAAAATCTTCCAAAATAGATTTGGAAATAAGAGAAGTTCGAACATATTGTAGTGTTGTAGGGTATCACATGGTCGGCGCCGACTTCTTTTTTATTTATTGTGTGTAATTGTCAACTGGACTAATAATTTATATTCCAATAGGCCAACCTTTAAATTTACATAGCTATAACCCTCATACATACTTGTGTTCCCATTGTTCTAAAGAAACAGGTTACATATGCCTCAACCTGTTGAATATGCCCACATACCTCATGGAGAAAATGGCTGCAGGACTTAATGAACGATCCCACTTAATTACATGTGAAGAATGCATGTTTCCAATAAAACATTGCAAGAATAAGAATAAGGTTTTTGTTTGATATTGTTGTTTATCAACATTTGAATTACAATATTGTAAAGAGAACAACATGTAAAAACACACACACACCAACTCTCTGACATGTGTTTTCCACTTTTCTACATACAATGAAAGTGTGTGTATGTAATTGAATTTACACATGTTCAAAATATCAGCACTTCAACAGCAGCAGCAACACCAGCATCATCATCATTATCAGCATTTTCATCAGCGTGATGGAGAGAACCAAGTGGAGAATGATGTAACAAAGTGATGTGGATATTTGTATGAAGATACATATATACATATGTACATTCGCACACACAAATTTTGAATGGAAACATACATAAACAAATTGCCATGAACAACCGCGGTTCCCAGTAATGCACTATTTCATATAATATATTAATAAGAATAATAACAATAATAGGTGTGTCTGGTTACCCTAAAATTTGTAACAATTGTTGCTGGAAGCCGTTGGAGAGAGACATATTGACAGTTCTTTCAGGGAGAGTTTGGAAATTCTTGCTAGACAAATTTCTTCTTGTAATCACTTGCAACTCCTCTTCTTCTCATTCATAGACATCCTATCAGATGTTTATACCCTACACCACAAGATGGTCAGGGTATTATGTCTTTGTGCATTTGTTTGTAACAGGCAAAAGGAAACGAGATAGACCCATAGTTCCTTTTGATGATCTGCATAGAATCACATTCTGAGTCGATTTATGCATGTCCGTCCGTCCGTCCATCTGTCCATGTATTTTTGTAAGCAAAGTACAGTTCGCATTTATTGCCCTATCCAGATGAAAATGTGCACAAATCATTTGTTTGGCCCAAGGACGAACCCTATTGAAATTTGGAGATAATCGGTCAAAATTTAGATAGAGCTCCCATATATATCTTCGTCCGATTTGCCTTTTATTGTGCACCAAACGTGTAATATCAGTCCGAATAGTATGGAATTTTGTAGGTACGATCAGATTGGACCTGAAAATAAGTATTCCAAATTTTATCGAAATCGGTTCAGATATAGCTATAGCTCCCATATATATTGTTCATCCGATTTGTTATTTTTGTCCTCCGCAGCCGTAATATGCACTCTGTAACAACAATATTTGGGAAAATATATCAAATACAGGTCAGAAATACATTTGCTAAATTTTATCGAGATCGGTTTAGATTTGCATATAGCTCCTATATACAACTTCGTCCGATTTACCTTTGATTGTGCACCAAACGTCTAAAGTTTGCCCAAATGGGATGAAATTTGGCACTTACGACCGAATTGAGTCTAGAAGCTAGTATGCCAAATTTGGTGAAGATCGGCCGTAATATGTAGTGGTGTGGGGTATCATAAAGTCGGCCCCGCCCGACTTTAAGACTTTCTTTACCGGTTTCTATTGTTTATTTATTTATTTTTGTGCTGTAACCAGACACACCTCATAATAGTAGATTTTCCCAAGCAAACATCATAACAATAGTCATTGCCGCAATGGTTGTGGCTCCAGCTCCAATAGCAGTTGGAACGGTTATAACAATCAGGGCTTAGAAGGCGAGACATTTTTGATAAAACTCCGTTCTTAGTGTTTGATTGCTCGACTTGGCAACCCTAGTGGTAACAACCACATCAGCTGTGGCGGTGATGGTGTATAGAATGCTATTAACCCATAATATTAGAAAGACCTGCTAGGACAAGAGAGGGGAGAGGTGAGGTTAACATTTCATTTGTACTGCCAAGAATGTTAGAGAGAGCATTCACTCGCTTCTATTCTATAAGTTTGAATAAAAGCTAGTCGAGTGTATGTGGAATATTTTTGGTATATCAATTACTTGTAGACAATAAACTTTTGCTTCTAATGCAGCGTAAAAGTAATGCTCGAGTGTCATGGTGGTATGTGTCTGTGTGTTCGAGAATTTGAAATGTATGCAAGTGATGCCACAATGGTCATGTGTTTAAGAGGATGGTATTAAAAGAAGGAGAACATATTTTTGCGTAATCAAATATAAATGGTCTGAAAGTCATTTGAGAGTTCTTTTAAATATTCTTACTTTTCAAATATTGTCCTTAAAAAATATCAATTAAAATTATAGATTTGAAAGATTTTAAAAACGCTTTTGTGTTTGCAAATAATGTTAGGAATCAGATATAGTCCTTGGAACCATATTGTTCAGGCATTCTTAGAACCATTTATATCCAAAAACCCAAAGGTCGTAATTAAGGTATTTTCTAAAGCTTAGAAAAATATTATAAGTGTGAGTTTTTTCGACCTATTTTCCAATGTATTTAATAATATGAGTTTTTTTGAGCTTTAGGCCAGTTTTTTATTTTATTTCATTTTTGATCTCCGATATTTCGCAATTGTATAAATTGCATCTTCAGGGGATCTACAAGATAATATAATATTCTTAATATTACTATCACAGCATTGATTAAAAATAGAAACAAACACAATGTTATTACACAAAAATCGCTTACTTGTAAACAATAATCGTCAAGTTAACTTAATAACTACGATAGAATGCACTATCATCGTCGGCTGTTAATATTGCACCGATTTTGTTTACATATTGCAACACAATGTGATATACCAAATACAATGCGATGGCAACCCTAACGAAAAATGTGGGAAATATTATGTTGGTACCACAAAAAATAAATTGAAAACTAGACTATCAGCCCATAAGTCTGATTTAAAAATGAGAAACCAAAATTACACACAAAAAACAGCGCTTGCGGAACACTGTATATCAAGCAACCATCAGCCAAACCTTGAACAAGTAAAAATACTGCAAACGGAAAACCATTACCACAGAAGACTCACATTAGAAATGTTACACATCAACAATCTACACACAACAGAGAGAATAAATTTTAAGAGCGACACAGATAACGCAGCTTATTGCTATAGGCATTTGACACAAAAGAAGAGATCGTGCAATATGTAAACAAAATCGGTGCAATATTAACAGCCGACGATGATAGTGCATTCTATCGTAGTTATTAAGTTAACTTGACGATTATTGTTTACAAGTAAGCGATTTTTGTGTAATAACATTGTGTTTGTTTCTATTTTTAATCAATGCTGTGATAGTAATATTAAGAATATTATATTATCTTGTAGATCCCCTGAAGATGCAATTTATACAATTGCGAAATATCGGAGATCAAAAATGAAATAAAATAAAAAACTGGCCTAAAGCTCAAAAAAACTCATATTATTAAATGCTTAGAAAAATATTTAAAAAAGTCTTCCACAAAAAATATGCATTTAAAATTTTATTTACCAATATATGTTGGTTAAAAAAAAACAAATTTCACATTAAAAAAAATATTGCAATATTTTAATGCGTAAATAAACAAAACCATTAAAAAGCAGTAACATGACATGCATACACGAAGGGTTTGTCCCTCGGATTTATTTATTTCATAGCAAATACCAAGCGTGCAGGAAACTGCAATCTTTTGAAGTTGAGTGGCATTTCCATTGCAATTAGTGAATTCGAGGTAGCAACATACTTCCCCGTAATAAGCGTATTTCAAATGAATTGTTGTGTTGATTTTTAGTGTTAGCCTAAGGCGGTGTGGACCAATGGTTCTTATTAAAATCATTCCTCAATCTGATCCTATTTAAATATAATTTTAAAAATATATATGAGAGTTATAACCAAATTTGAACCGATTTTAATATAATATGACTAATTTATTTTCTAATCAAAATCCCGTCGCATATTCCAAATTTCTTTGGAATCGAACATACATATCGTGTATGGTGCATAAAATACATGAAATCGGTCGGAAATATGTATGGGAGTTATATCCAAATCTGAACCGATTTTAATATAATTTGACTAATTTATGTTCCTATTAAAATCCCATCACACATTCCCAATTTCATTGGAATCGAACATACATATCGTGTTTGATGCATCAAATAAACGAAATCTGTTGAAAATATATATGGGAGCTATATCCAAATCTGAACTGATTTCAATATAATTTGACAAATATATATTCGTTTTAATTTCCGCTACACATTCCAAATTGTTCATTGAAATAAGAGATACATAGCGTGTTTGGTGCATCAAATACATGAAATCAGTCGAAAATATATATGGGAGATATATTCATATCTGAACCGATTTCAATATAATTTGACAAATTCATTTTTGCACCCAATTCCGTTACTTACTTTAAATTTCATTAAAATTGGACATACATATCGTGTTTGGTGCACCAAACACATGAACCGATTTCAATATAATTTGGCAAATTTATTTTTGTTCCAAATTCCGTTACGCATCCCAAATTTGGAGACTGAATCTGTAATCGATCAATAGATATATGCATATAAAATCTAAATTTTTAGGAGGTACCTCCGATTCTGTTGCTATATATCCAGTTACAAGTGGAATTTCAAAAATGTATAAGGCCTATGTTACTTTCAGGCAATGTTGCAGTATACATGGAAATTTTCAGGAAAATCTGTTCAGCGGTTTTCGAGTCCACAAATTACAAACAAACATACAAACATTTTCCTCTTTTATAAATATAGAAGAAGAAGAAGAAGATAATAAACATAAAATTCTAAGTCGATCTGTCCGTTGAAATCACAATACAGCCCACATTATTTGTCGTATGTAGAGTTTCAAAGTTTGGCAGAACAAATTGTATTGTGTCTTTCTGTTGGTATTGAACATGAGATATATCGATCCACGTTTTGGTATAGTCCCCATATAACGGTACCTCCCAATATTCGGTGGTTTGATTATTTTCGCCACATTTTTTCACGGATTTGTCTAAAAATGTGGTATTTGTTGGTCATAATGGGTTTTAGCTCCGGTGGCCAAAGATTGTTTATAGCTCCTACATAAAGGAACCTCCCGATATTCGGTATTTTGATTATTTGTGCCACATTTTTCCACGGATTTGTCTAAAAATTGGTATTCGTAGTTCATAATGGATTCTAGCTCTGGTGTCGAAACATTGCATGTATCGGCCTACGTTTTTTTATAGCCCCTATATAAAGATACCTCCCGATTTGTCCAAAAACTGATATTTGTAGTTTGTAATGGGTTCTAGCTCCTGCGACGGAATAAAGTATGTATAGGTCCACGTTTTCGCATAGACCCCACATAATCGTACCTACGGATATTTGTATTTTGATGATTTTTTGCCACATTTTTCCTTGGATTTGTCTAAAAATTGGTATTTGTAGTTCAAATGGATACCCACCGATACTCGGTATCTTATAACCCTAGTTACATTTACCCACGAAATTGTTTCAATTTTGTTATTTAAGAAGATTTGGTAGATGACAATCCTTGAAGTATAAAAATGTCTAGGTGGTTTCCGTTTTGGTATGGCCCTTCAGCCACTGTATGGTTTTTTGAAAAGTTTAATAACATTATCCAAACGGTCTTACTGCTATTTGTAGTTTGAAGTGAAATTCGTGTGAATTCAGATACTATTATATAACAAGTAAAAAAGCAGTAAGTTCGGCCGGGCCGAACTTTGAATACCCTCCTGGGTATCATTAACCTACATAAAGAATTCTCTGTCGGGGGGTAAAGTGCTCACAAAAAATCCCTTGTGTACAATTTCCGTTGAAAAATGTGGCTAAAATCATCAAAATACCCAATATCGAGGGTACCGTTATATGGGGGCTATACGATATCGTGGACCTATATAGATAATTCTCTGCCGAGGTATAAAGTACCCACAAGGAACTCCTTGTGTGGATTTTCAGACAATTCCGTTAAAAAATGTGGCTAAAATCATCAAAATACCAAATATCGGGGGTACCGTTATATGGGGGATATACGATATCGTGGACCTATATAGATAATTCTCTGCTGAGATATAAAGCACCCGCAAGGAACTCCTTGTGTGGATTTTCAGACAATTTCGTTGAAAAATGTGGGTAAAGTTATCAAAATACCAAATATCGGGGGTACCGTTATATGGGGGATATACGATATCGTGGACCTATATAGACAATTCTTTTTCAGAGGGTAGAATACTCACAAGGGACTCCCTTTGTGGAATTTCAGACACTTCATTGAAAAATGTGGCTAACATCTTCAAAATACCGAATATCGGAGGGTACCGTTATATGGGGGCTATACGATATCGTGGACCGATATAGCCCATCTTCAAACTTGACCTGCCTGCAGACAAAAGAGAGATCTGTGCAAAATGTTAGCTTCCTATCTTAATTCGTTTAGACTGTAGCGTGATTACAACAGCCGGACGGAAAGGACTAAATCGTAGAATTTTACGCTGATCAAGAATATATATACTTTGTTGGGTCTAAAATGATTATTTCGATGAGTTACAAACGGAATGACGAACTTAATATACAATCCATACTATGTATGGCGGAGGGTATAAAGATGTTATCTTTACCCAAACGTGGAGGGTATTAAAAGTTCGGTCCGGCCTAAGTAAATGTTTTTTTACTTGTTTAAACCACGCCTGTTACTAAAAGATTTAAAAAAATCGACAATTCGAGTTTATGGGTCTTATTGCCCTTAAATATATTTATTACTATACTTGAGTTAACTTTCTGAAAACTCTCACGATTGTGGTTTAGAAAATCCCAAAAAATGTTCTTTAAAAGATCTCTATAACATTTTTAAAGTTCTTAAAAAAATACATTTATTCCATAACAATTGAATATTGGAAATTCAATTTCCCAAAAAACTTGTCTAAAAATCCACAATTCCTAATAATGGGTTTAAATATTCAAAAATATATGATTTTTTATGTCATAATGTCCTTAAAAATCGTTCAAACATCTTAGATTTTATATCTAAGAGTTGTTGAAAAAAATATGAAAAATTCATATTCATTCGGTGTATAAAATCCAAGATTTTGAGTCTGTTATCAGTACTTGAAGATCCTAAAAATATCTTAAAAATATTAAATTCAGGATTATAGGTGATACTGTTAAAAAAGTGAGTGTGATTCTCATTCACTTCTGAATGCTACACACATATAAAACCAAAGTTTTCCTTTTCACCAAAGTCTTCCTATCGAAAAGCTAAAAAAGCCAAGTGACAATTCCCTTCGCCGGGATGAAATCATGATAACGATCAGCTTATTTTGCAAAGCTTATAGAGAGTAATATGATCTTGAGCCAAGGGGGAAATACTCCAGAATTAAGCAATCAGTAATTAAATACATCAAGGAATAAAACTGATATCGTGCTTATATTTTCAAAACTTAATGTTTATTTCCGAATTCTTCCCTCGTGTATCTCCTTGATTCAAGTAACGAATAGAGTTCAGAATATACACGCTACAATCTACGTTTAACATTCATTGTTAATAGTCATCTAAAATAAACTATTGTTTTAGTTAAAGTTTCTGATAATGATGAGTGTTTCAGCTGATGATGAAGATGACGGCGATAATAATGGTTCTCATGTCAGTTTGTGCGATGCCGCTGAAGAGTTGACAACATCTATGTTTAATTGTTCGTTTGTATTGTTCCATTGTAACGTTATTCTTTACTCGAAAATTGTTGTTTGTCATGGAGAGCGTGTAAGTG